TATATATAACATCTAAAAAAATTAATTTTTTTATTAATATATAAAAATAAAAAAAATATCTATCTAAAATAATTGTTGTTTTGTCAAATAGGACAATTCAAATGTTATAATTGCTTTATCAATGGAAATTTATTATGATCTTATAAAAAGTCTGAACAAAATATTTGCGTTAAAAAAATAATCATTAAAATTTATATATATTTTAATATTAATATTTTTTATTTAACGCAAAATTATTATAATATAATTATGAATTGTAAAAATGCAACAATCTTCAAAATATATACCTATCATTTTCCTTAATGTTGAGCTCATTATCCAGTAGGATTGCTTTCAATGCCTCAATCTCATCTGTAACTCTGTAAAAATCATAAACATGAAAATAATTATGTTTGTTTATAATCTTAATTTAGAATGATCAAATCAGCTGATCAAATTTGTTGTTAGAGAAAATTATACACGAGTTAAGGTGTCATACAACTTTAGATTTATAAAAGCATACATATTTATTTATGTATATTTTTATTTAGATAAAGAAAATAAGCTGTTGACAGATATATATGTTTTTCCTATTTTTCATTTCTCATATGCAATACTTAAATATATATTTGCGTATAATATTATTAAAATAAATTTATGTTAGCAGAAAAATAATTATTAGAAAAGATGGCAACAGAATAATTATACTAACAACTAATCTGTACAAACATATGTTGTAGGCCGATATGTGGACATGAAGAGACTAAAAGAAAGAGCCGATAGGATACGACCTCGACAAGGGGCACCTCGACAAGGGGCACCTCGACAATATTTTTCGGAAAGACCGAGATGTGAGAGACTCGGTCGGAGAGCAACGACGTCACGAATTTCAGAATCAATCGCGATCACTTTACGCCAATTATTTATTAGCGATTGTCTCCGACGATAATTACCGTTCATCCACCATCGCGTCCGACATTGTTCCTCGTCGGATGGATATCGCCGAATAAACCGCGTCTCTTTCCGAAGGGCGATTCTTTGTCGCGAATAACGCCACTCGCTTCGCGAGAGCGTCAAATAAATGTACGTCAATATTGAAATCCTTCTGCTAGCACAGCCGACCGCGAGCAGATCCGATTGGCGGATCCGTCGATTGCTCGTTCGCCAATCGTCGCTCACTCGACGATGAGTAACGGCCAATGGCAAAGCGCCGTTTAACGCGCACTCTACATCTGTCGCACGACGAGTTTGTCGAATGCGCCGATTGGCTATCAAATAGGGAATTTCTAGGGTTCCGTCGTAGCAGCCAATCGGCGCGTTCGACAAAGCTTGTCGTACGACAAATGTAATACGGCCCTAAGTCTATAAGTGTCACGTGATCATGTAGTGGGAGAGGGGAGAGTAGCGCAAAAGGAGAATTCCAGATTCTAGTTTACGTTTACGATGACACAAGTCTGTTCCAGAATAGAGAGAAGGCAATTCTAAGAGTATAGCTAGGGGTTTTATTAATGTTAAGTATTTCGATAAAATGTCTACATATATATACTTTTCTGTGAGGTACAATTATTGAAAAGTTTCTATTTATTCTGTGATACATACAAGACTCGAGTTCGAATTTAACGTGTATTTTTTACTTGGAAGGTGCGATAGATCATAAAATAGCTGCGCGCGTTTTATATCTACTTTATATATATGACGATATATTAATCGTCTTTATATGTAAGACATTGTATTATATTAGAGTATATCGTTAAAATTAAATATAAGGTTGGCAGCGCGAAATATAATCTTTTTCATCTCATCCTGTTCAGCGGTAACAGTTTTTATTATATCCAGACACGATCGCGATATGTCAAATGCGGAAGTGAATATAAGGCACACATCGATTATTCAGAGCAACTGTGCTATAGATATTTCAAGACGAATGAATAATATAAACATAACAAGTATATTATACTTGTACATCTTTTAATCTTCTTCCATGCCTATGACCCATGTCCCACCGGCCGATGTACATACGATTATTTTCTCTGTCCACCATGAGACCTTTACCGTGTCGAAAACCGTCCACAAAGTCACCCTCGTACCAACAATTGTTATTCCACTCTAGGAAACCTCTCCCTTGAATCTTATTATGCTCAAACTGACCCTGTATAATTTTCTCTCATTTTTATTTCTGTTAATTTTCAATTCTTAATGTTAATAAATTCTTAACGTGAATTAATATTATATTTCAGGATAAAAAGAGATATATGTGATGTCAATTCAATTTTAAAACGTCAATTCAAATACATAAAACGGAAATTTTGAGAAACAGAGATTAATAAAACGTATGTCTAATGATTTTTGAAATTTCTGTCTAAGATAGTTGCATTAAAGTTTATATTAATCACTTTTTTTTTACATTTATAAGCTGATAACGCCTTCGCTATAAAAAATATTATTCTTGAACTAATCTACTATCTGTATTTTTATCAAAAAAAAAAAAACTATCGAAGCATGCATAGCTCGGATTTGGAAAAAGAACAGCCCTGACCCGATTTCTTCACTCTATTCCCTACGTCTCTCCTTTCTTTAAAATGTGCCGATCGTTCCGTAAAGTCAGGGCCCCGGATTTGTCTCGAGTCAGTCCTGATCGCGCGACGAGCTCCGAGAAGACGATTGTGTCACGTTCTTCGATTCCGAGGACGGCACTCTGAGTCAGCCGACCGAAAAACTTTAACATCGTGTATCCAAGGTTGTTTCTGAAATTTGGAAACGCTCCGGAGGTCACAATCGCCCGGCACGATCGCGCTTTTATCTCCGTCACGTCGGAGGATTCTCGCGAGCGAGTCTCGCGCTTGACTTTATCGCTCGGAAAACGCACGAAAGAGACACATAACCGCCGAACATTATCGCGCGCAATCTAATGCCGCATCCGATATGTCATCGCTCGTTACGACGTCGCGATAAAAATTCACTCTCCCGCAAATTTCGCGCGCGTGTCTGCGCAAACGAAACCTTTCTCTGCCGTTGCGTTCCTATACTGCGCGTCTCCGTCGAGACGCTTTTATGTGCTCTTACTCGACTATTTACACTGCAGAGATTCGCGAATTTATTATCATTTGCTAATAGCGAATTCGATTGGATCCCATACAGCACACAAAGATTGCATACATATTGTAGCAATCTTTCACCGCAATATTGCAACTTTGCAAATTCACTGCAAAATGTTGCTGTATCATTGCTGTGGAATTGCAGCAATGATAAAATGTCCGCTTTTAGGAATATTGCATCAAAATATTGTAGCAATATTGCAATGTAATGAATTTGCAATGATGTATATATATTTATTTTTGGGTATATAAATGTGTAATTATTGACGATACATTGTAATTAAATGTCTTTATTTGTACTTATGTTAACGTTATAAATAACATAACATTGCACATAACATATTATTGCACTTAACATGTTCACGAAATAAAAATATATTTTTTTTTATATTAGAGATATATATAAAAATGGTTCAGCTTTACGCGGCGCTTTTATTACCATTAATAATTTATTGAATTTTGTCCATTATTGTTTTCCTTTGTTAAATGTCTGTAAAAATAAAATAGGAGTTAAAATTCATATTTGCATAAAAATATACATACTGCAAATATACATAAATATTTTTATCAAATATTTTAAAGTTCATATCTACAGCAAAATAGAAAATTAGAGAAAGCAAAAAATATCCACATAAAAAATATACGAACATATATCATAGATAAATATAATTTTTACTTTTGCGATCTCAATAATTTTAAGGTTATTAACCTAGGTTATTAACCTTAGGACATGCTATTCTATTATGATTAATTAATACATAATATATATAGGTTGCTATAATAAAACATAATATTATCAAAAAGTTCTTACCTTTTCTCGTACGCAACAATAAAAAATGTTAATCACGAAATACACGACAATCACAGATATGTGCAGCAAGACCGGCGCCTACTACACACGCACACAATTGCGAACGCGTACATGTGCTGCGCAAAGCATACAGTGCAGCAATATAAGCCAATTTAAGAAAAATGTTTTAATAAAATGAACCATTTAGTATTGTTTATCGTTAACATCTTTCATGTAGAAATATTGCAAAAAATTATTTTATTATAATATTTTATTATTAAAATTATATAAAAATTGAATTTTGCAATATTTCCGAAATATTAATGTCATGTTGCTACAAGTGTGCTGGTACTTTGTGGCTCTATATTTCTGCAATGTCTTTGTAATGTTGCATTGCAATTTGCAACATTGCAATGTTGCTGCAATATAATTGCAATGATCTGTGCTGTATGGGTACTGTTTTAATATCTCATTATTGTGTTTGTAGTATTAAACATATATTTGTAAGCTTGCGAGATTTTGCTTTTTCTACATAGTGACCCAGACAGCACAAAATGTCCTCAGGTTCATCCTGAATATGTCCAGGATGGTTCAGGATATTTGTAGGATGTTTTAAGATATTATTATAAATATATTTTATGAAAATTTAATATGCATACATGATTACTTTCGGTTATGTAGGCTATTTAATATAATTTAGAAATTTTAAGTATTGTAATAAGTATTAATGTCCTATAAATGTCCCCTGGATAACCCCTGGATGTCTGTAGGATATCTGCCCTGTCCTTTGGATTTCCAGAGGACATATACATGTGCAATTAATTGTTAACATTAATTTCGTTTAATATTAATAATTGAATTTGATGCGCACATTTTCACATATTCAAAATTATTATTTATTTAATATTTCATGAGAAATGTTACTATGCGCAACATTCCAAAAACTTTACAAAAAATAGTATTCAACCGCTAGTTCGTTTGTTTACCACTATGCGACACGCAAACTCGTATTTGAGATTTGGTCATGAGAATTATATAAAGCTTGCAAAGAGCAACTAACAGGAAATTAAAAATATAATTATTTTTTATCAGTTCAATTTCTGATGCAATCCCAACATAGGGAATTCAGATATTGGATTGTTTTGAAAATATTACACGACTCAAACCCGGAAGCCAAACCTAAAATATTCATGTACAGCACGAAAACCTCAAATATTAAAGAACGTGAACTATTTTTAGTATTAGATTTTTAGTATTGGCAGTAAATAACAGAACGCAATCTTAATTTATATTTAAATTTTAGAATTTGTTCCTTTTAACGTATGAAAAATATCCCTAACATATCCTATAGAAATCCTTAAGATGTTCCACAGGATCTCCCTGGATTCTCCAGAGGCTAGTGTACGGCTATCATTTACTCTTCCTCAGGACATCCAGAGGAGATCCGAGGATTAAAATAGGATATCCTCAGGATATCCTACATGTATGTCCTGGATGCCCTTTGGACGTCCTAAGGACATCCTTGTGCTGTCTGGGATATTTTCTCGATACCTTATAGTGGACACCATTGTGCCATCTGTATGTCCCTTCGCCTTCCATCATCTTCCTGCTAATGCGACCGCGATAAGAATTTTTGTTATAGAATTTTATGTTGGCAAATTCATCCGGTAATAAAAGTTTCCAGGACGGAATGGATATTTTATCTTTTTCTTTCTCTTCTTCCTTAATGATTGAATCATCGCTTTTGTCACCCATTTCTTCGTTTTTTTCAATAGCTTCAGCATCATTTTTGTCCAATTTCTTCACGAGCGGTTCTTTCCGCAAAAAATATCCATTCCATCTATGTGTATATTTCGATCAGATTAAATCAATAATACAATATATATACAATATACATTATGAAAAATTTTTATTGCATTAAATTAGTATAATTACTCGGTAACGAGAACCGGAAGTATGTCATTGTACATTGAATAAACAAATTCTTCTTTAGCTGTATATTTGCGACGTTTCTCAGCCAATATATCCTCAAAGGATAATTCCTCCTCCGCAATTTTATCAGTTTCTATTGAGAATACATCTTTCTCCTCGTGCAAATCTTCCGCTTCATGTCTTTTATCTTCAGTTTCATCACGGGGAACTAAAAATTCCGTTTTCTTTCTACATTTACGTAAAATCTCTTCTTGCAGCGCTTTCACGTTCAATTCTCTTATTTCATATTCCATGTTATTGTTCAAATTAATGTGTAATAATATTTAATATTTATTGCGCATATATACAATATATATATGATAATATGCAAATTTCTATTTATTTAGTAACAATATGAATTTGCTCTTATTGAAAAATTATGAAATAAACGAGAGAAAAAGAGATGAAAAATATTTGTGCAAATGTAGATGATATATAAAACACTATGTTCACATGTGTGTGTGTGTGTGTGTGTGTGACAGTCGGAAAATGACGCATAGAAAGCGAGTTGTTAAATTAAATTATTATGCCTTTATAGATGTTTAGTGCAAAAGTTATTTAATTATTATTGATTAATAATCTCTTTTTACATTTGATTTATGAAAAAAAGATATCTATATATGATATAAAATGCTGAAAAAGAAGGTTAATGTAAGACTGTATTGATAATTCTCAAACAGATATTTTAGAGATATTAATTTTATCTTTCAAAATATTTTAAAATGTTAATTATCTCTTATAATTATTCTTTTATATATTTTAAATAAATCTTATGTTTATATAATATTATAGTACTGGAAAATTTTTTTGAACTATAAACTATATTGCATCCTTAAGAGAAATTTTGCAAATTTCTGTTTTTTTTTTTTTTAATTTTTCGTACTAATAATTCTTTTTTAATTTCTAAATTTTTTTTTCTAATTTCTTTAATTACAGTTTATATCTCGCAATGATGAAAACGAGGATATTGAACCTATCGTTTTCCACGTTCCAGCGGTGTACAGCGATAAAGTCAAGATTCACGATTGGTAAATATTGCGACATTTTTCAAAATTTCTATTAAAAAGAAATATGATTCATTAATCAAAAGTTGCATAAAGATAAACACGGGAAATGGAGCATTTAGAATCATCTAATCTTGCTGTATGACATTTCTTTTCTATCTAACGTACATTTTGAAAATACAGTGTGGAGAGATTCTTGTAATATAAATTTTAACTTTCTTTTCTTATTCTTTTTCTTTAAATGAAGAAAAAATCTTTTAGGGGAGAGCTTTTTTTTATCTGACAATTTTTTCTATTATAAATTAAGTTTGTAAAGGTAACTGCGTATGCCGCTTGGATAAACATATCGCGATGGAAATCACATACACATCTAAGCATATCGCACATGCATTATAATGAAAATGAGGGGAAGTAGTTACGACACACAGACGAAATCGTGCGATTGTTATACGTAGCAACGCACTTTATTTCACGAATCTAACAAGAACACCCACGTTTGTATTGCATATCATTATTTGACACAGTACCAGCAATAGTAAAATTTTAACTTATAATAGTTAGCGTTGTCTGAAAAATGGCTTTGCATCAGGATAAATTTTTATTATTATCAGGAAGAATAAAGGAGTGAGTTTATTATTTAATCTAGTAATATTCAATGAAATGCTAAACACATTAAATTATATGTCATAGTTTTATTTGAATTCTCTGGAATATTAGTTAATAAATAGAAATTTATTATATAATAACGTATATAAATTTCAGCCGACATCGAAACAAATCATAAAATTTCTTTCTCAATAATTTCGTTAAAATTATCGATTAACAGGCAGGTAAAGATGTTGTCCGAGCCCAGAGACAATGCGAATATATTTCCACCGAAGGGAAATCTTCACAAATCCTCCTATCGAAGACTTGGTCCGGAAGATGAAGGCACTGGGATTTCGGAGACACATGCCATGTTGTCGCAAATCGAGATGAGAGACGAGTACAAGCCGATTACTTATCCGCGACGCAGTTTACTTACAATGCAATCGCTGGCTTCGGCAAAGTATGTATTCGATATTTATGTTTAAAAAGTATCGGACGAACTGAAAAGACTTCTCTCGGAATTTAAAAATATACATTACTTCGAAATTATAAGAGGAGATAAATAGTATGAGACGTTGCTGTCTATTTCTAAGAGAAAGGCAAAAAGTCCCCGCATACAAGGGCTATCCATAAAGAAACCGAACTTAAAAAAGAAAAAAAGCGCATTCTTCGAATGCGATTACGTAAGACCATCTGCCTTGTGGCACTGTGCAGTGGGATTCTTTAGCAACTTTCTCACACGAGCATAACGTTATCGTTCTTATGTTCTTTACGTTTTATAGTGGTTTGAATGAGTTTGTGTTCGTTATTTGTGGCGATTTGTTTTTTAGATTTTCTTGCATAATTTGAGAGAAACAGTGAGAAAGGAGAGAGGAGGCTGAACAACAGTCGTCACGTATTTTGCCAAAAACTCGTTGATAAGGAACAACGTGTATGCGGGCGCATTGTCGTGGTGCAGCATCGATGAATTGCTGGCCCACGCTTCCTGCCGCTTCTTTCTCGGCCTCTCTCAAACGCTGTACGAAAAAAAGGCCACGTCTAGAAAATCGTCATGGACAACCTCATTCAAGCCACCATAAAACATAAACTAAGAACGATAGCATCATGCTTGTGGTGTGATAAAGTTGCTAAAGAATCCCACTATAGAGTGCCACAAGATCCTCCCATGTCAACGCATTCGGGCGCTTTTTTTCTCTTTAATATTATTAGCTATAACTCAATATTTCAATTGTTTGTTTTTTATTTGTTATATATTTGTGTGAATATTTTATATGTGTCTTAAAAGATTTACAAAAGGGCATATTTATAGGTATAATCTACACAAATTTCTTTCACATACACATAATCATCAAACATCACAAGCTGCACTTTATTTTAATAATTAATTAAATAATATTATTAATAATCAAATTAATTTATTATTAAATAATTAAATATCATTACAAATTAAAACGATGGTAGAGCGTGACGTAACGTTTTCTAGACAGGATTACGAGGAAAAGGAATTAAAATTAACAGACATTCTGCTGGATCCCATAGCGATTTGTCAAATAGATTATCACACTAGTATGAACAGAGATTATCGTTCGCCTTATCCTCTGAAAACGAAGCCACCATCTTCGCCACCGCCACCGGAACCGTGGCTGTTAAATCGACGTACCATCGGTTATAGTCCTCAAGATTTGGAGAATCGTTGCGGATACCACACATTTTTAGACGACGACATGAATCTTCATCAGAGAATAGCAGAATTAAAAAGGAGCAGGGGCAAATTATACAAGACTCGATGATAAATAATAAACGACAGCAAAATTCCATTGATGACTGATAAATTAGAAAATTATCTAACGTGTTTGAATAGATATAAGAATATTTTGAATAAACTGAGAACACATGAATAATATGCAAAAGGAACAAAATGATTTTTTCTTTATTGTTCAGAAAAATAAGATGTTTAAGAATTAACAAAATATATATTTTTTTTTAAATCGGGAGCTGTTTTTTATTCTTGCTCGTCATCGTGTCTCAGAGCTAATATATTTTATTTAAAACAACAAAGGAAGATAGAACTGAATGATTTATAATTAATTTTTTAATAATCCGTATATAATTTTTTTCTTTTTACAGATTGTTTACGCGGAGAATTAGCCCTTCTTTATAATAAATTGAAGCATTATCTATGTAATGTTTTTTCTAAGGAGGACACAATTGCAAAATCATATCCAAAATAATCGTAATAATGTCACAAATTAGATTGCAGGCATTAAATTAATTTGCGGCGTAAAGCATCGAGCACAAAAAACTAAAGAGAAGGTAAAATAACGAGGCATGGTCGTGTAATAGCTGCAATGTAAAATATATTCTATCTACATTTTGGCACGAGAATATGTGCACAATCTACGATCTAGAGAGAATCCGGCGTGGTAGCGTTTTATTCGATATTTCTGCCGAATCGCGAATGTCCGTACTCTTCGTCGTCGCCGTTGGACCGCTTGCCGAATCTCATGTGACCGTAATCGTCCAGCTGCTGGCGTTTGCTGAATCGCAAATTGTCCTCGTCCTCGCCGACGAGATCCTCCACAAGATCCTTCACGAGACCTTCCACGGCGTATCTGCGGCAAAACGCACACGAAATAGCAAGAATACTATGTACTATTAATTTTCTTTAAATCCTCAAAAGTTTCACATCGACGAGAGTATTTATTTTTGTCTTTCTCCGAGATTTTATTTACATACATCTATTGTTATATATATTGTATAGTAATTACCCGTAGATATGTGGATGATTTTCTAAATTGCGATGGATGCCGGAGATCAATCTCGGAGCTGCTTTACATTTTCCGCAGAGCAGCCATACGACTGCGATCATGCAGGATAGTGCAAGAGTCAGATTCATGTCTGTAATTATTTAACAATTTTCTGTTTCATCACAAAGATACATCGCCAAGATGTATACATAAAATATATGTCTATTTTTATAATAGAAATAATGTAATCACATAAGTTTACAAGTCGAACTATTGCTTCCTATTTTCTATAATTTTCTAATAATCAATTGCTTTTAATTAGCATACTCAACTAATTGAATTATGGTTCAAAAGTACTAAAAGAGCACACAGCGTGCTACATACACATACATACACATATAAAAAAATATTAATATACCTAGATATATAGAAATACAGTTACATGTACAATGAAAGATTTGTAACTTTTGTCCCAGATACAAATACAATTACAAATATCAAAAGAAATTATTTCTCAAGCTTAAATGTCGAATATTTTACCGACAATCTTTTCTTTATTTTTCAGGAAAATTGTTCGAGAAAGCGTTTAAGTTTTATAGAGTTCAGATGTTTCGGTATTAAAAAAAAAATATGTAACTTGCAAAAAATTTTACTGACAATGAGAAAGAATTACATTTTCAATTTAACGGAAGAATCTGCGTACCATTCGGTTCCGGGACACTGAATACGCACAATGATAAGCGTTCTGTCGCGCTTATTATGACAGGACAAAATTAAGGAGAAACCGTAACATACAAAAGGTAACAGGTGAGACAGATAATAAATTTACAAAAACTGTTTAATTTATAAAAAAAGATACATATAATTTACATATTAATCGTGAGAACCGTGCGCGACGAGATCTTTCGCAAATTGGTCAAAAAAGCCGTAATCGAAGAGATTTCCCGGGATATCCTTATCTCCGCTTACCTGCGTGTATCGGTCGTCGAGAAAATCGGCGATGGAATGTACGGTTCACGCGGCGGTGGCTTTTTATATCGCGGCCAACTTTGCGTTCATCCCCCCGGTTGGAAAAGCGACGCGGTGGTGAAAAAAGTACGACGGCGTTGAATTTTAATTCACGCAACACCGCGCGCACTGATAAACAATTTTCTTCTTTCAGAAGAACATCACGCCTCCGCCACTCAATATTCCGCGATGTTCCGCGCGTCGGTGATTGGCAGGGCACCGGCTAAACCGATTACCGATGTCACGTCGCGGCTCTTCTGTTTCCTTTCTGGCGGAGAAAATCGGACATTAAAATCCGCCCTTCCCCCCCCCCTCTCAACCCCTCTCTCTTTCTCTCCAGCAAAAGGAGAGTAGGCAGTGCAAGTTGATAAATAACAATGCGAACAATTATGGCCATCTGTCGATTTCGCGCAATTATTTTTTTCAATTGTTTAATTAAAAAGTCAAGACGCTGACGAGGAACGAACAATATTTCGCGCACAATTGGTGTTAATTAGTGAAATAAAATACAATACTTTTCGAAAGAGTTTTACTTTATAGGTGCGTGCTTTAATAAGAGTTTTAATTATTGTTCTGATAAGCAGTTCAACTAAGAGGACATATCTTCTTTATTTAAGAAAAGATGTAATCATCTACAAACTAGTTTCGCTTTTAATTGCATTATCTTTTAATTTATTGAGATTTAATTCATTTTTGAAATCGATTTTCCTTAGTAAAAATATCGAGGAGATTTCTTTGAATTCTTATTGAATTTCTTATTGAATTCTTTTCGTGCATTATCTCAACCGAACTTAAAATTATAATTCTACAAAAGTAGAGCTTCTTGAAAAAATTTGAGAAATGCGAGTCTTTATTTTATTTCTGTTTATCTCTCTTTAAAACTTTATTTATCAATAGTCATTGTGTAGAATCAATTTTTTCTTTAACTAGATTTCCAGTGAGCACAGTATATAACTGTTATATAACGTATATATATTTAACATGCAGATTAAATAAATACATGTAACTTACATGTTTATTATCAATAATTTTAGAGAGCAAGTAAGTAAAAATAAAAAGTTTTCACAACAAAATAACTTTCTAAATGGACAAAAAATCTTATCTCTTTTTTCATTTAATTTACAGCTGATTTTATTTTAATCCTTACATTCTCAATTGCTCGATTAATTTTTAAATCTTATTTCTAAACCTGTAATAAGATATGGGAATAATACATTATTTTATCATCGATGTCGAGGAAGCATATCTTGACATGATCGTCGATATTCCAAGTAACAGCGTATAATGAAAGCATTGTACATCCTCACGAGGTCACGGCAACGATTATCAATGGCTTCCTCGTTTGTGGTGCTTCCTCTATTAATTCTATAAAACGGTTTATCCTTCGAGTCGAATCGTTTTTTCAGTCGTAGAATTGCCGTTCGATCATCAACAATTTGTCGAATGATCCTGTGAGATTTCTCCAATTCTTGTCATCGTTTTGCGGCATCAATATGACGAAGGACAAAGAGACGATGGTTCAGAAAGGTCTATCGGAATGGTGGAGCGAAGAGACAGAGTACGTGCTCCAAAGGATCGAGAGATGGACAACCTTTGTACGTGGTTACAATCGTCTTCGATCGCAGAGGTGAGAAAGAGAGAAAAAAAGAACGTAAACTACTATATATAAATAAAAGATAAATAAAAAAAATTTGCACAAAGAAACAAATATTGAAATGAACCAGGTGGTCCAAGGGAACGCCGCGAGACACCTCGAACGCTTCTTTTGATGAAGCCACGCCGCAATTTTACAGTCTCAAATGGTACAGATGGAAATCACGTCCGGAGGAAATTAAGATTAATTGCTGCGGCGGAACGTTTAACTATCAGTCGAACAACGAGCTAGAGAGCAATTGTCTGGAAACTTATCGGTACGATCACAGTATCTACTTCAAAACTATCGGTGACATTAGAAGCGACAAAAGGAATGTCATCAGGGATCTAGATCAGGATAGAGTATCTATTAGCAGCGAGGAGATGGTGGAGTGGGATGCCAGCTCGCTCGTTGATCTGATGATTGCTAACAAACCGATCTCTGAAGAAACTTGTAACAATAATTGTCCGGATGAGCCGAGTGTTTCGGACACCGTTGCTGAACAGGAAAAGAATGGAGCGATGCAAAACGCCTGGCCAATCATAGATCTGTCGAAACTCAATCTAAATTTGATGGACAATCGAAAAAGAGACAAACAGCTTCCTTATCTGGTTGATCGAGACGAGAAACAGCACGAAAATAACAACATGAATAATCCGGATAAAGCGGATAAGGAGGATTGGAAGAATGAGTCGAAAAATTACGAGAGGATGAAAAAATTTCCGTCGTTTCGAAAAACTGAACGATCATCCGCGCGAAAATCACCAATCATCGGTGAAAGCAATGTTGTCTGGCCGGGAGTCCTTTTGAATTACAATAACAACTTTGACGTCGCCGGCATGTCTGCAAGATTAAAGTAAAAATTAAAGTAAAACACATCGAGCGTAGAAAAATACGTAAGTATAAGTGTTAATGCTTAAGTATTTGATCGATGAATCGTCGAATTGTATAAAATATATAATATGGCGAACTTAATTATTCTATGTATTTTATTAATAGAAAGGCTTTCTTTCTGCATCAATTTGCGTGTGATTCGTGCGCACAAAACTCTGCGTCGAACAATGCTTTCATTCTGAAGTTTTCTTTTTTTCTTTCTCGCTCTTCCAATATATATTGTTACGTGCTTTCATTTGTCTTCTCATTTTAACGCGATTAAATGATCATATGATAAATATGAGTAATGAAAGAGCAATGTAAGAACAAAGAAAGACAAAGAAAATAACACTTTAAAGAATAACTGTTTGACAAAATGAATAAAATTACATTACAGCTCTTTTTGTAGTAAATATTAGATCTGAATTGCAAGGGGGAGAAGGGATATTTTTCGCCTTTATTTTGGGTAAAGATTTTTTTTATTATAAGCAGATGTTGCAGTAATTATATTTGTTTTTCATTTACAAGAATATCCATGTTGCAAATTATTAAAATGGATGCGAAATTATATAATAGCACTAAAAACAAATGCATGTAATGTCTTGATGAAAAGAATTGTATACAAGATCAAATATAGATATATATATTTTATTTTATGAAAAATATATATGCATTTTTAGTATTTCGAAACTAAATATATTTTGCGACGCTTTTTCTCTCTCAAATCATTTATATTTATTCATGATATAATACTGCTTATTCTCGCGTAATGTGTTTGTCATTTTTTCTATTAATGAAACTAATACTGATTCGTAAGCATATATGTAATCAATACTTTGTATTGAAATAAGAATATCTTCTTACACATATATGATTTAAGACAATATAACAAAATTTGTAATCTTTGTTTACTAATACAATCTTCTGACCTCAATTATGTGAGAAATATTAAAAATAAATTGCAAATGAGAAAAGACTTGCATCAACAACCTTCTCTAAAATGCTTTATGTCTGTATTTTTTTTCTCTTTTTCTCATTTATTATATGTTATAGTGTTATATTAGATAATTGCGTCATCTGTAAAATGTCAGTATATCGGGAGTTTATTTGATAAAAGAACTAATGTGTTTGAAAAAATTTTATAACTTGTATTTCTGTAATGTAAAAATTCAAAAAACGTCAAAAGAATGTCTCAAAATCTTTTTGGTCTCTTTTACAGATATTTATCTGTAAAAGATAAATGGCTACCATATATTTATATGATCTGCGATATCACTGAAAAAGTTATTACCATAAAGGAAATTATATAGGGGCTGTTCTTTATAGCTGAACTGGCTGCACAAGTTCAGAGCTTATCTTTCTTCTTGTAATGTGGAAAGAAAAAGATAAACTCTGAACCAGTGCAGCCAGTTCAGCTATAAAGAACAGACTTATAATTACGTCGATATTAACGTAACATTCAATCCTTCAACGAAATTGATGTCTGACAATGAGAGAAACATGTGTCTCTCTCTCTCTCTCTCTCTCTCTTGATACTTTCACTACGATACGCATCTGACGTCTCTCTAACGATAAGAGTGTCCGCGACACACTCGCTCTCGTTACATGAAGAATTTATTCCGATAAAGGGAGTTCCCACCATGGTCATAGCGTTCTCGCGGGGTAGCGCGCATGCACCAACCGTGAGAGGGGCGGAAGCCACGCATGCACGAGTAAGTGTGCTCGCGAATCCTGTCGCGAATCGATCGTGTGCAAGCTCCACTCTCGCGGCTTAAGTAAGGCACTTTACGATAGTGCGTAATAACTCGGATAAAGGGTTTCATCGACGAGAGCAAAGGAACGGAGGAACAAATATCAAGATGAGCAAGCGATTAGAGACCGTGGCCACGATGACCTGCATGAAGACCCTGCTGATGCTTTTTAATTTCATTTTCTGGGTAAGTCAAGCCCACCCCCTTCTCCACCGGTGATTACACATTGCCTTCACAACCCCTTGCCATGCACCTTGGTCCAACTGTTGCGCAATTGATCGCAATTCTCCTTGTAATACCGGTCAAATCTAGTTACTCGCCGCAGGATGAAACATGTAATAATGATGTAACGATCCAGTCCTGTCTTAAACTTCTTAATTAAAATAGGGTCAGATAACTGGCGAATGAGTATGAGATAGTAAATAACTATGTTGACGTGTGACCTTGAATGTCCACATATATTTTACTAATATTTAGAATGTAAAATTTAGAATATATTCAGCATATATTTAAAAAAAAAATTTTCTCTTTTCGAATGTATATTTTTTTAATTCATTGAAAGTTTCGATAGCTGTTATAGTATATATTTTTATCGTCCATATACTTATCTTTGAATCCTTAAATTAGTTGCAAAATTTCAACAAATTATCTGAAAATCGCGCGTCATGTACGTATGTGACTCTGTTGTCAACATACTTCTCTAATACTAGTGACCATAACTTGTTTCAATATAAAGATAGTAGTCTTGTCAATGAACGGATTATTGAATAATTCATGCCATTTTTCCTCACAATACTACCTCAGTCTCTAAATAACTGACACTTTCCTAAGTTATTTTTCACAAATAACATATATCACATATGTTTATCTGTACAATATATTATGCTCTAATAGAAAAGATGTTGAACACTTTCTTTAACTTGATTATATGATGTATTATATATGTGTGTATATATATATATATATGTGTGTATATATATATATATATATATGTGTGTGTGCGTGTGCGTGTGCGTGTGCGTGTGCGTGTCCGTGTGCGTGTGGTGTGTGTGTGTGTGTGTGTGTGTGCGTGTGTGCGTGTGTGTGTGTGTGTGTGTGTGTGTGTGCGTGCGTGCGTGCGTGCGTGCGTGCGTGCGTGCGTGCGTGCGTGCGTGCGCGCGCGCGTGTTTGTGTGTATGTGTATATATATTATTACATGATTTACATATTTATTAAAAATGTGAACTTTTGAAATTCGAAGAAACTTCGAACCCCAGTGAGACAATTTGTAAGGAGTTAAGTGAAAATTTGTAAAAATACTCAGATAAAGCACAAGAAGGCCAAAAGACATCTTAAAGATGTCTAAAGGACGATAAGACGTCTTTAAGTCTTCTTTTAAAGACATGTGCTATCTGGGTAACTTATTAAAAGTAAATTATTCAAGAGACGCATAATTCAACTAATTTTTTAAGTTTTAATGTCGTTTGTATTTGTACAGGCGTCCGGGATATTGATGCTATGCATCGGCATATGGATGCGCATCCAGTTGCGAGATTACATGAATATGAACGTGCAGGGCAGCGGGACAGCCCTGTTAGCGCTCGCATGCTTGGGCGCGGTGTTAGCGGTAGCGGCGGTTCTCGCCTGTTGCTGCACCGCGCGAGGTCATCCTGCCCTACTATACCTGGTAAATACAATATACAATTTAGATATAGGATACAATACGATCTATATAATTCGCGATGAAACTTTATTGTAACTTTATGATACGCGCTTGAAGAAGAATCAGGATACGCGCATACATGTATAGAATACTGGCGCGAATTATAGATCATTTAAAGTGGACTCTTGGGTCCCTTGGGAGTCGTAAGATGAAGTTACGAATCGATACTCGACATAATTATCATCATATGAGCAATATAATGATTCCCCAATGCACATGATAAGTGCCCTAATACTAAAATTAAGAAATTTACAAAAGTTAATCAGTCTGTCTTCTGAGAGCCTTATATAAGAGGAGAGTAGCTTGCTAACACTGAGTATACTTGTCATTCGTAAAATAAATTGTATATCCCGGAATTATTATTATAAAGAAGAAAGAGAGAGAAAGATTAAATAATATTTTTGCGATTTTTAGAATTTAAGATTTTTACATTAAACTCAAATATTTTTAAATAAAAATTCTTTTGGTAAAATGTAAACAGAATTTTAAAAGAACTTTACGCAAACAATTATTTTATAGTAATTATGCATATTATTAGGGCCGACCTGATCGATTTCAATGATCTTGACATATATTGTCAAGGATACGACCTTGAGCAACTTTCAAAAGGTTTTAGCCATCGCTCGTTGTTTATTAAAAAGTTATTAACAAAAAGTAAGTTTAGCGAATGGAACCTAATTGTCTGACATCATGTACATTTAAGAAGGAATATATTTGGTGAAATATGTGTTCAGCGGCTATTATTTACTCTTCCTCAGGACATCCAGAGGAGATCCGAGGATTAAAATAGGATATCCTCAAGATATTGTGCTGTCGTTTTGTGCTGTCTGGGTAATATCCCAGACAGCACAAGGATGTCCTTAGGACGTCCAAAGGGCATCCAGGACATACATGTAGGATATCCTGAGGATATCCTATTTTAATCCTATTTTCAACCGAAGACGTTTTGTGCTGTCTGGGATCATAATACTGCTTTCAATACACTGTATTTGTTTATATTCTTCATAAGTAAATCTACTACAAATACGTATTAAAACATAGTAAATCTTCTCTGCTCATGTGTCAAATTAAAAGAAAAGAAGTATTTTATAGTTTTACTTTATAATACACACACATGCCATTTTGTGCCATATATTGTGTGTATGTGTGTGTGTATACTTCTTAATATTAATGTCAGAAAATTACATTCTACTCGTTAAACTTATTTTGTTAATAACTTTTTAATAAACAACAAACAACGGCTAAAACTTTTTGAAAGTTACTCAAGGCCGTGTTCTTGACAACATATATCAAGGTCATTGAAATCGGTGAGATTGGCCCTAATATGCATAATTATCTATTTTATTTATACAATTTATAAATAGTTGAAGAATAAATATGTCGAAATAAGAACTTTTTCTATTTCTTTTTCTTATAGAGAAGTGAAGATTCCCCTTGACATTATTATTACCATATAAAAAATAATTATTTTGTTCTCTACATTTCTTAGTATGGCGCGTTTCTTGCCGTTGTCGCATTACTGGAACTTGGTGCAGGTGCGTCGGTTTACGCTTATCGTACAAACTTGAATGAAGGATTCGATCAAGGTCTAAACCAGAGCATGGAAGCCTATGGACAGGATCATTCCATGAGCAGTTACTTAGACAGCATGCAATCAACCGTGAGTATTATCTTTCTCTACAGTATTCCATTTATGTTCACGCAATTTGATTATTCCTGTTATTTTAATAATAGAACTTTGATCATCCAAATTTTTATTGAAATTCAGATAACAGTTCAACAAAATAGAAAGAAACGATCAAATGATTGTTCATTCCTTGTAGTCTTTTTGTTGCTCGATATTATTTAGGTTCTTCTAAATGTCATATCAACATCCTTGTACCGCAAGTATCACGTCATAATATTGAGGGAATTCGAGATTAAAGTTGTAGAAAAGAATAATAAAATTAACGTGTTATAGCTAAATATTTAATGTGCTTTTATTTTGCTCACAAAATTGTTAGAACTTTCATTTTTTGTAAGAAATTCGTTGTGAAGATTAAAATTAATAATATTTTCATAATCAGATAAAGTCCATTACATCACACACAGGAAAGTATATTATAATTAATTTTAATAACTATTTTATTACAAAATTAATAAATAACATTCCAGATTTTCTGTAATGAGACATTTACATACATCTATTGTTCCTTTCTTCAATTTTGTTTATTAATCTTTAATTAGAGCGCTGCATTTAGCGTGGAACTACGAGGGAAATGATTGCATCCTTTCTTGACTTTGAAAAAAAAGTTATTTTTTATTGGACTGTCGAAATTTTCATTGTGTATATATCGTATATTTTGAAAATGTTAATCAACTGATTACAGTTGCATTGCTGCGGTAATCGTGGATACGCCGATTGGCGCGATTTGAATTCACCAAAGAAAATTCCCCTGTCTTGCTGCAAGGTGCCCGAGGATAAGTGCGAGCCGAACGACATAGAACAAATTTATACCGATGTACGTAGGTGATAAATTTCTTGTTGTTTCTTAATTGTCTAAGTTCTTGCGAATCTTGCTGTTATTTACCGTGCATTCGACGGAATAATTAAAATAGCGAATCATCAAATTAGACTTTCCATGTTTGATTAATTTCAACAATTATGGCAATTATGACAGAGTTACGACACTAAGAATTAGAAGAAAAAAAAGAATATGGAAACGCGCAGGCTAAAAATCTGTTTTTCTCGACTTCCGATTTTTTCAGTTTTTGGTATTTTTAAAATTTCATTTTCAATTCTTTTTGTTTTCAGGGATGTTACAGTCGCGTGCTAGATTTCATAAACGGCAACATCGGTCTGGTAGCCGGTACAGCGATCGGCGTAGCCTTTTTCCCGTTAGTGGGCATCTTCCTGGCGTGCTGCTTAGCCAGCAACATCAACAAGGCCGAGTATGAACAGGTCGCTTAGGCACGGCATTCGCGCAAGCAGCAACGACGATTCTATCAGGAAACAAAAAAACTCGCGTCGCTAGCGACAACAGCGAACGTACACGATTTCAACATTGGAGCACGAAACTGATTTTGATCGAGGCAAGCGCGCGCGCATTTTGCCCAACTTCGAGATTTTAATCGAAGACTCTGCAGCATAAATTAGATAAAAGTCTGCAGTATAAGGTACGCATCTTTAAGTTAATGAAATCAAGTCAATCTGAAAAAATGGACCTTGCATACCAATAAATTATAAAATTACATTATTTCTCACATCGATGTATCCTTTAATTCTTATTTAAGCGCTCAATTTGATGATCAATGTCGAAATTTGCGCTCGTGTTCCATGGGGCTATTCCGATCAAAATCCATTAATAATTAATTAATAATATTATGTTAAGATATATAATAACCCTCTTTTGGATTTCGTATGAAAAGTTATATATATATTGTAGTATGCATAGAATATAGAATGATTGCTTAAAAAATCTTTTAAACAAAGATTTTCTGTAAAGTTTCAACAAGTAGATAGAGGAACAAGGAAGCAGAAAGTATTAGAATAGGACAAAAGTTTCTTGTGTGTTTAAACTTTATTTTAAAATCGTGTAGACTACGGTAATGAAAAATATATACCATGATTGTGTATTATTCTGTCGTCGAAATATTTGACTATTCAATATCTCTTTCTGTTTCCTTGCATAATTCTTGTCGAAGATTTGAGATTTGTATAACACTCTGTCATTCTATATTATATGCTGTAAGAGAGTGTTGTATGTAAAATACAAGAAGAGAATATCTTGTATGGGGAATATACATAATCTCTATTTATTATAGAAATATAAATATATCCATGTGTATAGAGAGTGAGACACTTGACTCGGATCATTTCTATCAACTTTTCTATTTGACACATTAGAAAGAAATCAGAACTGGCGCAGAAATTGTTCGGTTTGGGGAAATTTTTATATGTTACATGTGCCCTATATAATTAGATACTATCGTTTGATAATTGTACAATAATATTTTATGTAATATTAACAAAGATGCCAAATAAAAAAGTTAAACGAAAATGAGCGCAAGCGTTAAGTGCCTCTAACTCTGCGTTATAAAATATATTATAAATA